GGGGGCACTAAATACTAATGCCACTAAGGCGATGATATAAACAAATAATAAATTATACAAGTGAGTCTTAGAAAAATAAATAAACAAGCATTATACTTATCTTCTAAATGAAACGGCTGATGATAATGTTGAATATTGAAAGGATCAATTGAAGTCGAATGCAAGTAGCTGACCAAAGTGTACAATATGCTGTGAACGGTATTGTGATGTATCTCAGAAAATATATAGATACAACGGCGTTAAACTGAGCGCACAGGGTACGACAATCGCAAAGGTGATATTTTCTTTTTACAATAAAAAAGAATACAAAACTACTGGCTCGCAAACGCCATAGAGCTTATAACAGAAGAAGCGTTAAGATGGCTGCGACAATGGTAACATAGAGAGAAAACCGACAACAACTCGATGTAACACAACGATAACATGAATAATCAAAAACACATTTTCTTGACAGCACATTCGATCGATGTGTATCCAACATTTAGATACAAAATTTAGGTACAAAATATTAGTATTGTGTCCCTAATAAGGGCGCAGTACTGATGTTTTATATTTCGACTGTACTGGTATAGTTCACGAATGATAATGCTTTTCTGTACTGACTGCCAGTACTGAGACAGTATTGTCCCAGTACTGTATGTCAGTACTGATTTTATACTGGCTTAATAATGGTACATTACTAGTGAAGTACAGGCCCAATTATAATTTAGTACTAGTTTTAACCATGGTTGAGTACAGATTCTGTAAAACATTAATAATAGCGCAATACTAATCTTAAAATGGCACATATAATAAATACTTAAAAGTCGATTAAAGTTTTGTAATACCACTACTCCTTAAATTAATATTTTTTAATTGCGCGTTTTAAACATTTTATACGTACAGATTTATTATAAAATCTTACTCTTGTTGGATATGAAGTTACAAGAGGGCGTTTTGTTATGACTGATAACGCCACCGGTTGAACGAGAGATTCATTACGCTGTATGATTACGTACGCTATCGTTGTACATAGAAATACTGTCGGTCCTTTGGTGAATTTTCCGCTCTTGCTACGTGGTTCTATGGTGCACCTAGCTCATAGCCGTTTTAATGGAATAATCACTCTTGTGATTCGCTGTGGTTATACAATTTCTATAACAGTGTGCCATTGTGCGTCTTTCGTGTACATAACAAGTGCTTCCGTTCGTACGTGCGCCATATATTTTATTGTCTTGTTTTTCACATCCTGTCGTGCCTTGGCTCCCTCAAGCATTCGTACCCGTGCACGTCTTTAGTGTCCAATCTGAAGTATTTACTTATTGAGCGACTACTCTTGTAGTCTTCAACATTTTAACGCGAAGTATTCACACTGTCCACTTCTCACCGCCATCATTCATAATTCATCTATTGTACGTTACAAAGTTAAGTCTTTAATTGTTTGTAATAATTATATCATATTTTATCTATTTTGTTCATAGATGCCTTGTCGGCCATTTTAGTATTAGTGACCCCAAATTTTATGATATTTTATAAATATTGTTACTTAAATAGATAACCCCTTGTTCTGATAATTTCATCTAGTATAAGTACCATACACAATCTCATATACAGCCCACTCACAATTTCTTTCTTCTGCACGATCAGAGTCAACGAAACGAACGTTAACTAACCCACACGAGTATTACCAAGTGTTCCGTTCAAACAACTCTTATTAAAGAAATTCATTTTATAAATTCTAAATTGTATATATTTAAATTATACATATGTAAGACATTTATATAAGTTAAAGCTATATTTTTAAACTTTTAATTATAAATTAAATACATAAATAAATATTTCCCCCATTTACGGGAAACGAGGGAAATTTTTTCGATTTTTAAGAGAAATGTCTTCAACTATATACGATTTGTGAACTTTTGACGTATTATTGAGAAAAATCGGTCCAGTGATCGCTGAGAAAATGTAGTGACAGACACAAAAAAATATTCACATCATAGTAAAATTAATACTTTCTCAGCTTCATATCAAAGCTAAAAAAAAAATAAGCTACCATTTAATATTTGAGAGTTACCCCATCTACCCTTAGAAACAATTTGTCTAATGATTTTTCATGAGAAATATCGAATAGTGATTATCGACTAGTATAAATATTTGATAGTTATAAAATCTACTTAAATAGTTTCAAAACTATTATTGGTTGTTTATTTTAGTTATCATAGAATTCATAGGTCGCAGTACGAGGGAATTGGTATTTAAGTACTAAGCTCCGGTCTAGACCTGAATCCTTTAGGCCGTTCTTATAAGTACATCAAGCAAACCGGTAGGAGTACCTTGCTATGCGGAGCACGTTAAATGTTTAACACAAAATGTATAACTTCAGAATTATTATAACAAAAATATACTGAAAATTTAATTATTAAAATGACTAAAATTCAAAAAGGGTAATTAGTAAAATGTTCAAATAAACATTTGGTGCCAAAAAAAATAATACAAATGTATATTCAAAATTAAACTTTAAAGTTTCTATACAAAAAAAAAAATATATTTAAATTTTTTTTTTTTTCAAAAAGTAATGGCCGTTAAAAGTATTAAAATATTTCATGTTAAACAGTGATTTTTAAAAAAAAAATTACATTTTTCGTTAAACTCGACGATCATTTTCTCACAGAAGAAAATGTGTCGAGACAAATTTTTTGAGATTTTCCCCATTTAAAAAAATCAAACATTTTTTATCGATATTGTATATACTTTGGGAGTAATCGGTGGTTTATGATAAACAAATCACTTGTTGATGCACCACACTAGAATGCCGTTTTACCTTAAGCCTGTTTAAATCGCTATTATTGATACGGGAGTGGGTCACCTAGGGGATGACGGCAAACGACACATCGAATAAGTATCGAGAGTAGAAAAATAATTAAATAACAAATAACCACATATATTAGAAATTCTTCAGAGATTATCTTAAATTTAAAAGGTAACGGAGGCCCTTAAATACTAATGGCCGGCGAAGCGGCATAAAACAACATAGTTAATCTCAATTAAAAAAAAACAATAAATAACATTAGAATTATTATAAAACTCAGCTGAATAGATGAAGTTGTTGATAGTGATGAGTGATCAGTATGAGATCTTGTGGTAATGGTGTCGAACATCTGAGTATGACGAGTCAGAGTGTAGTTCCAGGCACGTAATGGCAGGTGAGAATAGGCGGTAGAAAGGCGACTATGGCAATGAAGATATTTAGTGATGGTCAGGGCTCAATCACTAATGGCGTGCAAGGGCACGAGAAATTGAGCACGAGGGCACAACAAATAAATATTAAAAACTATGGCGTACAAAGGCCGAACAATTTACCATTCAAGCGAAGGCGCTTGCTACAGAAAAATAAATGACACATAAAACTGACTGACTGACTTACGACAATGAAATGTACACTAGGGTGTCCCTTATTTATAAAATTTAAAAATTACAAAGTGCCACCCCCTAGAATTATTCGAATACATAAAAAAATAAATTGTACAAAATTTGGAGACGATTGGTCAACTCTAAGACGTGCCCCAAGGGAGTTAAAAATAACCCCCCAAGGGTGATTTTTCATTTTTTTTGTTTATCTCAAAAATTTTAACATTTGANTTTTTCATTTTTTTTGTTTATCTCAAAAATTTTAACATTTGCAAAAAAGTTTATTTGAACTTTATTGTAGGTATACAATTTTTCTATAAAAAGTATATTTACAAAAATGTTCGAAAAGTTCTTATTTAGATCTAAAAAAATAAAAACGTATAAGTTCTATTCTTACTGTTAAAATTATTAATTTATAAATCGTTCATTGTAAAAACAAAAAAAAATTCATTTAACCGTTATTTTAAATTTAATTTTCTATACATTTTTTATTAGACATTTTTTCTATTATGTGCTATTCAAAACCAACAATTTTTTTTAATTTTATTTAAAAAAAAACATATCAGAGTAAAATTAATACCGTCTCAGCTTCACATTGAAGTTAAAATAATGTTAACTTACAAATGTATATACAATCAGAAACTATTTACAAAATAAAACGTACCAAAAAAATTTACTACATATTTTAAATAATTTATCATTTTAAAATTCTTGACATAATGTGCTTTTATTGCAATTAGGAAAACAACGCCGGTATTCTGTAACAATCTGTAATAGGTATTATTTTTGTGGTTCGACTTTTGTTAAAATATTATTATACTCTTTTATGAGTTTCACGCCCCTTTCTGCCAAATCATTTATAACTTTTAAATTATTTTTCCTCTGATATATTGACTGTTGTCTTTCCACGACAAAGGATTGATATTTAAAAAATCAGTTTCAATGTAATTTCTTTCAAACAACTTTTTTGACTCAGTTGAAATAAAATCATCTATACTTTTATTTTTAAAATCATAAATTTCATTTACTCCTACTACTATACGTTTGTTTATACATGGATCTTCTTCCCGATTATTTAATGAATTTACCATTTTAATTTTAGTATCTTCACATAAATTATCATCAAAAAATGCCATTGCTGCCGTTTCGGATACAAAGTACCATAAATGACCGGAAATTTTTTTTAAAACTACTTTAGAAATATCTTTATCTATTTGTTCATAATCAATTATATTTTTAATAAATTTTAAATCTAAATTTGGCGCTAATGCAGCATTTGGTGCACTAAACCATTGTTTAATATATAAACTTGTAATAAAAATACATAATGAACGAATATTATTTAACTCTTTGATTGACAATTCAAATTGGCCCCGAAACAAAAAAATGTTCAAACAATAAATGGCCTTAGCCATCCAACGAGCATGATGGATTGGGCCAGGAATTTTAAAATAAATTCCATTTAAAAGTGTTTCACCAAAAAATATTATGACCAATCCTAAAAATTCCTTATAGTCATCTCGAGGTTGGTATTTTTGTAATTGTTCAAAACTAAATTTCAAAATATCGTCTTTTTTTGTATTTAATTTTTCTAAAATAACAGTATCTTCTATTCAACTTAAGTAATTTATTTTATTTATATTTTGCCAAGACTTTTGGAATTTATTGAAAATAGGAACATCTGGTCCAGATGACGTATTAAATTTTACTTTAAAAACACTTTTCAATATAATTTCATAAATGTGATGTCTACATGGTAAGTATAAAATATCACGCCCTAACATTTGCTCCAGTAATATGCAGGCACCTTTAAGTCTACCTGTATTAGAAGCAGTAGTGTCACAGCATAATGATTTAACTTTGTCAGTTAAACCCCATTTTTCAAGTGCTGCGTATACAGCTGCTGCTTGACTTTGTCCCGAACCAGAAGAAATTTCAGGCACATCGAGTAATTGTTCTATATTATTATTTGACACAATTATTGGTAATCTTTCAACTAGTTGATGTCCTGATAATGAAGGAAGAAGTTTTCCATCCCTATGAATGGTGCATGGACCTAATGTCGATAAATTAAAATTACTACTTATTTTTTTTATTAGGTTTTCACGGAAACGTTTTGGAAAATTATTAATTGAGGTCTTATTTATAATTAATTCAGATGTATCGAGACCGAACGATTCCGCGGTTGCCATTAATATATGAACAGCGTCTCTGTCGCTTATTTTACGCCTATCAAATGCAGCAGCAAGTTTGTCGGTTAAAATATTTTTTATACCTCTAAGTTGGGGAAGATTAGGTTTTTCAATTAATTCTTCGGTCTCATCACACTCACTAGAACTGTTTGAAGATGAATATAACAATTCTGAGTTAACGACATGATCTATAATAATAAAGACGTTGACTTACTACTTTGGAAATATTTTAAGATATTTTTTTAATTACCTAAAACTTCCATTTCATCGTAAGCTTTTCTTTTTCTTTGGATAATATTTAAATTTTTATTTTGTTGATTCATTTCACATTTTTCATTGAATTTATCGACACCTAACATACAGCCTGACCTTCCTTTTTCCCTCTGAGCCAATAAAAATTGTTTATCAACTTCAACTTTAATTAAGTTTAAAGCGTCAGAATGAGCGATATCAAATAAGTCATCAAGCTTATTGACAAAGTCCTCTTCATTTCTTGTGTCTGATAATGACTTTCTAGTCGCATGTTTTTGTAATTTTTTTCATTCATTGTATAATGATTCAATTTTTTTAACGGAGTGACATTTTTTTTTAATAGGTATTCTGGCTTTTTGGCAAAATATTTCCATTTTATTGTACACTAATGAAGCACTATCGTGAACAATTAAATTAACCACGCGCATTTTATAAAAAAGAACACGTAGTACTTGTTTATTTGATGGCAACTTACTACCGACGATTTGATTTGACATAAAACCAATTTGAGATGTTGAAGCCATTTTTTTTTTTAATATTTAAATCTAAACTTTTTTTAAGTTGTATAATTAGAAACGTAAGTATAAAATATAAGAAAATTGTTAAATATTAAATTCATTAACAACGAACGACAGTTGATTCGATTATGATCTAAACTTTTCAATTACCAGATAACATACAATCTTGGAAAGCGAAATTTTAGCTGGTTATATACATAGTCTCATCTTTTCAAGAATACCAGATAAAAGAAAACAATCAAATGTTTAAAAATAATAATCAATAACTTTATCTTGAAAATGACTTTTTTATTAGCCTATACAAAACATAAATTTTATGGCTCTATAAGTTATGAAGATACCAAGAAAAACCGTATAATTTTAATATAATTAAAATAAAAAAATTGTAGGTTTTGAATAGCACATAATAGAAAAAATGTTGAATTAAAAATGTATAGAAAATTAAATTTAAAATAACGGTTAAATGAATTTTTTTTTTTGTTTTTACAATGAACGATTTATAAATTAATAATTTTAACAGTAAGAATAGAACATATACGTTTTTATTTTTTTAGATCTAAATAAGAACTTTTCGAACATTTTTGTAAATATACTTTTTATAGAAAAATTGTATACCTACAATAAAGTTCAAATAAACTTTTTTGCAAATGTTAAAATTTTTGAGATAGACAAAAAAAATAAAAAATCACCCTTGGGGGGTTATTTTTAACTCCCTTGGGGCACGTCTTAGAGTTGACCAATCGTCTCCAAATTTTGTACAATTTATTTTTTCATGTATTTGAATAATTCCCTAGAATTATTAGAATAAGTACCCCCTAGAGTGGCACTTACAAATATTAAAAAAAAAAAACCTCTCATGTAGCTAAGGGTCACCCTACTGTACACGGATGACAATTGACACGGAGATCATCGATTTGGTGTGCTGGGTGGCCAAAGGGGTGAGTAAAGTAAGTCGCTGGAGATCAGCTGTTCCACGAAATAATATAATCAACGATGTTAGTAACAACTGGTCTACTAAATCTTTGTTAAAGGCGTTCTGTACCAAACAATTTTAGTTAAAGTAGTAAATGTTGTATTATAGAAAATATTCTTTTATTTTTTATAGCGTATTGTATTAATGGTTTATATATGAACATTTTGTCGTACAATTTAAATAAACACCAATAGCTTTGTATTTTCGTTTGGAATTTAATATTTCAAAACAATATAAACTGTTTAATTTAAAAAAATTTTCTGATTATAATTTAAAGTCTAGTTAAACATTTTTGTGAAAAAAATTTAGGGAATCCGAAAATGAATACTTTTTATGAATATAAAAAAGCTTCAAAAAGACTATTTGAAAATATTAGAACTTTAATGGCGTATTTAAGAAAAACTCTTAAATTATAACTTGTTTTCTTTGTATTACTATAAATCATTTTTTAAATCAAGTTATATTTTATTATTAAATAATTTTTTTATAAGCTCATAATAAATTATATTTTGATTGATTTCAGTTTTGAGATTTTTTTTTTAATAACTACGCATTACTAAAAAACTATTAACTATTAGTTTTTATTTACATTTTAAAATATTAGATTTATAAGTAAAATTATGACTATGTCTTAATAATAAAAATTGTTTTCAGTTACTAAAATCAATATTATTTGACTATATGCAAAATATCATATGCTGTTTCTAATTTATAGTTACACAAAAACAACATAATAAATCTAATTCGATTATATTAAAAATATCAATCTATGATTAAATTTAATAATCAGTCATTACACTATTTCTACGGTTATTGTCAAAAGGCAATGAATATAAAGGAATAAAGTTAATTATAAACATTTATAACTTTATCTAATCTGATCTCTTGGGTTGTTACTCTCCTCTACTAATGAATAATTTACAATTATGTACAATAATCCTTATGAGCTACAAAAAATTAATTTTGATGTATGTAACAAAAAAACAATTCTGGTTAAAATATAAATTTGTATCCATTGAAATTGTGAAAACTATTATAGTTTTTGTTAGATACCACCAGTTTGTTTATAACATAATTTTGTCAATTTTTTTCAGTTGTTTAGTTTTGACTTTAATTTACACAGTTAAATTTTATTTAGCTTAGAAATTATTATCATATTTCATAATTAATCTAAACGGTAGACTACTATTACGAAGTGAATCAAAGCATTCCATTAGTAAGTAGCACATCGCAAAGAAATTTTATTTTTGGCGATTTATTGCTTTAAGTCGAGGAAAAATTTATTAAGACTATAAACAAAAAGAATGGCCGAGGAATCAAGACATCAAAAGTAATTTCATTATTTTCTTTCATTTTCTTTAAAGTTACAATTTTATGAAAAATCGAATTTTTGCCACAACAGATAAATTTTGTAACTTGCATGTCATTGCAGCCATAAGAAAACAAGTGTTGTCAATCTACTGAGTGAGACAATATATTTTAGAATAATAAAAATAGATAAAATATTACGTTGTTTAATTTTAGGGTAATAATAAATTAAGTTACTACTAATAACTAAAGAAAAATAAAATAAAATATGTTTATTATGTTTGAGAACCTAACGATGTATTTATACTAAAGTCACGAATACGGCGATTATATTTGACTTCACATTTGTTTCAAAAATCTTTACACTTTTAAACATATTCTATATGTAAATATTTGTTTTGTAACTAATTAGTAACAATCTTAAAAATGAAAAAATCGAATTGTAGATGTTAAATCGAAACAAAATAGTTTTAAATGTTTGTAAAGTGAAACAGTATTTTATTTTAATAATTCTACAATAATATGTAGTTAAATAAATTGTTTTTCATTATATCAAGGTTAAAAGCCCTAAAATTAAAAGGTAAAAAAAAATGTACAAGTATTTTAGGTCTTATAAATTATTTTAATTCGATAAACAGTTCGTTTGTTTTCGGTATCATAAAGTTCAGTTATTTTAAACCAAATTTCTATTGTTATTATATTGTTTTATACACAGAAGTCATCATATTTATATTCTGTCACATTAACTAATTTTGATTGACTAACTCATATCAAATTATACAAATAAAATATTATCTCTCAATAATTTTATTGAATACATAAGTTTATTACTCATCTGGTCTTTGAAAACCGTATTAGCCATACATTTTTCTTTGAAATCGAATTTAAAAATAATTATAAATCCCAAACGATTCATGGGACAAAATTGTTTGTAATTTTATTTTTTCAATCATATTATCTAGTTAAAAATAGGACTTCTCATTAAAGATAATTATAAATAAAAATATTTAATCTTTCTTTCTCTTATTCTTTTTCTTTGACATAATCTTAACTACTTGTGGTCGGCCACCCTTAGACTTACTTCCACTTGACACGAATTTTAGACAAAGAATTTTATTCATTTTTATTTTTTTAGCTTCGATGCGAAGCTGAGAAGGTATTAATTTTACTATGATGTGTTTTTTTATTTTTTTTTTTGTGTCTGTGAACGCTCAATCTCAGCTCTCGCTGGACCGATTTTGATGAACAATATGTCAAAAGATCAAAAATCGTATCTAGTCGAAGACATTACCCTCAAAAATTGAAAAAAATTCCCTCGTTCCCCGTAAACGGGGGAAATCCCCCAAAAAATTACAAATTTAAAAATCGCTAATTTTCGATATTTTTTCAATTTTTTTTACTTAAAATTGCCATAACTTTTTTAAAAATGATCAAATCAATATAANAAATTGCCATAACTTTTTTAAAAATGATCGAATCAATATAATTTTTTTTTTTATAGATACCTTAAATATTTACCTATCATTTTATATATTTTTGTGAACATTTGACCCTTTAACAGCCCACAGGAAGGGTTTCAAAATGGTAGCATTTTTACAAAACATTAACTATTTCAACTTAACTTTTGAAAATGTTCCGGAAAAACTGACACTTTTATATATACCTTAAATTAAAGCTAATGTAATATACTTTAATTTGAAAAAAAAAAAATTTGACCTCTGGACTTGTCTTCGTAGTGAAAATGGACATCAAAGTTTAAGAAAAACGTACGATTTCCGTGTAAAAATCTCGATTTTATATGTTATATTATTTAATTTATATTTTATATAACTTGTATGAAAAATGTATGGATCAATATTATTATTTTTTTATGATAAATATTTGTATACCCCTTTCATCTGGCACGCTTTTTTTGTAAATCGGATCATACCCCTTTAACAAGGGGGGTCAAAACTTTAAACATGCGTATTGTTACTAAGATATTTTCAATTTAATTTTTGAAAGTATTCCGGAAATACTGACACTTTTATATATATCTTAAATTAAAGCTTATGTAATATACTTTAATTTGAAAAAAAAAAATTTGACCTCTGGATTTGTCTTCATGGTAAAAATGACTACCGTATTCAAAAATTTGCTATTTTTGTGTTAAAATTCTGGGTTTTGTATTTTATTTTATTTTAAAATACCTGACTAGGGGAGTACAGATTTTCATAAATATTATATAAATTAAAATTAATATAGCATAGAAAGTTAAACTTATTTAAATTTGTTTGCTTCTTTTAAGTCGAGAAAAATATCTTTGAAATTTGAACTAGCTTAAATACCCAATTTTTTCAATTGGCGGTAGCAAAGTACGATTGCCGAGTTGGTAAAACTTGTGTTTTACACGCTTGGGGTACGCGGTATTAACCCGCATATAACAACAAATTTTTTTCATTTTTTCTTAATTCTTTTTAAGTTAATATAAATTTTTAACTCATTTAGATTCAATAACTTCAATAAAGATCAATGATCCCATCACTTTAGTCGCCCCTTGCAAGAAGAAATTTCTTATTCGTATTAAAATTATTTTACTATATTTTAAGTTTTAGCTTCGATGCAAAGCCGAGAAGATGTTTTTTTGTGAATATCATTTATTTTCTCTGCTCTAACTTGACCTACTTTTTTCAACGATACGTCCAATGACTACAATTCGTATCTAGTTGAAGATATTACTCTCAAA